ACATACAAGCTAATGTAACAGAGAGATGTTCGATGGGCTATTGATGTACAATGATGATCTTGCTCATTCCATATGACTGAAGGTACTGCAAAGAAGCCCAGTGCTACAACAGAAACACAAAGTCATGTAGAAACAACAAACCAAAACAAAAAGGCTGACAGCTGTCTCTCTTCGGTGCAAAATAGGGTTGTTTAAGAGGGAGGGAAGGGCACAGGCATTGAGAAACGAAAAACAAAAGGGCAATCCGATCCAAAAAGAGAGATAAAATGAGAGAGAGACGAGAGTTTGGTCTGATTTAGATGACAAAGGCAGTCTCCATGGTTAGTGTGGGTGAGGAGGAAGGTGAGTCTCTTACAGGGCTCTCTCAGAGAAAACCTGGGGTTCGTCTGTCATAACGCTGCAATAACAGGTCACACACAGAGAGGAGATACACACTTCACATAACATGGATAATAACGTCTGCAACTTCAACACTGAACCACTTAAATTAGATATAGAAATAGTTAGAAGAGGGGAGAGAGAAATTATTAAGCACAGTGACAGTACTGCTGGAAAAGCATGGAGATGTGCTGGAATACAAACACACACACTCACACACAGCCAGACAAAAACACATAAAAAACACACACACATAGTTAAGCATACTCAATTTCACCCTGGGCAAGGATGCTGAATTTAGCAATTTCCTCAACAGCCTCATTCATAGTCTGGGATGCATGATGCCATGCCTGCTCAGTTGGTCGTAAATAATACACATTAGAGCGTGTGAGAGGTTATGTGTGTGCAAGGCTGTGTTGTACTGATATAATGAATATAACTCAGAAAGTCTACCTGCTACAGTGCCCAGAGGTTTGTCTTAACTAGCTGCAGATGAACAGGGGCAAACTGCCCTGAAGCCCATGGAACAGTAAAAACACACACACACATAATGGGCTGCAGCTCTGAGCAGAGAATGTTGCAATGGTAATATGACTCAACACAACTGTTTGTCCCCTACAGGGAAAGAGACATTGACTCCTGATGAATTACAAACAAACCTAAAACAATAAATTAAACCATTAAATATGACTTTTTTTACATTATGTTACATAGCAACTCTTTCCCACACTGAAACACAAAAATTCAGAACTGTGTTTCATGCATTTTAAAAGTGAAATTTCTGTTTAGCCATAGAAATCTGGCTTACCTCTTTACTGCCCTCGATGTCAGACGAGTCACTACTGAAATCTTCCGTGTTCAGATTTTCAAAGTCCGACTCTCCCACCGCAATCGGTACTGTAACAGTGAGGCTGGGATTGTGTATGAACGACATGTAGTCGCCTTCCTCAATTCCATACTTTACGTGACCTTCCACTCCATTACCAGGGGAGACGCAGCCCTCCTTCAGATAGTCTTTTGTGAGGTCGACGGCCACCGGAACGTGATTGGACAAGCAATTCTCCTTGCCGTCACTGTGGAGGTCGTCAAGGGGTTTCTCTTCATCTAGAGCACGAGGTTTGGAGCCGGCCAGGCAGAGGCTTTGGAGAAAGTGGCGTAAAGCGGACTTGACCAAAGCGATACCTTTCTGTATTCTGCCCACGGCGATCTGCAGGTTGTTCATTTCGCTGTCCTCATCAGTGGCGGCCAGATTATCGGCACTGAAAGAGCTCAGCAGCAAGGCCAGGAACAGGTTCAACACCTGCCACACAACAACACACACTTTGAGAATCAGTAAGATCAAACACAGATAAGATTAACAGATTCGACTCAGAAATTATCACAATGATCAGAACATGTCTAGGTCAAAAGTTTTGGGTTAGGAAGATTTAAAAAAATATACATATTTTCATTTAACAAGTTAAATTGTTACATTTTTCAATGGTAGTGTACCTCAAAATTTAATTAAATTAAAATTAAATTAAATTAAATTAACCCATGCATTATGGTAATGAAAACATGGAAGGAAAATGCACTTAATTGTCATGAAAATGCAAAAAACTTAATGGCTCTAAAACAAACCTAATTTACTCTACGCAAATTATAATTTCAAATTTTTTCTTTGTTGGAGGAAAATATGAAATGTCAATGAGATTCACTCTTACAACAGGATCATGATCAGTTCTGTTTTGAGTAGACTGAACAATTTAAAATTGCTTTGCTGGCCCTAAGTCATGCTCCAACAGAGGTCTTGGACTTTATGCTGAGGAGCATGCATGCAGCATCATGCAAAAGCAAATATTTTTGCTTACCAATGTCATTGTAGAACACTGTATTCGCATGTGCACTAATGACAATGGTTAATTTATTCCTTAAGTGTCTGAAATATCTAAAGTGTCTAAACTATCTAAACAAGTACATGAAATGTCTGAAGTTGCAAAGTAGGAAAGTGTTCCTGGATCAACATCCTGTAAAATAAACATAGTCCTAATCCCAAACCTTAACCATTGCATACCTAATATCAGATGGACAGAAAGTTGCTGAACTCAAAGCCCTAAGCCTTACCCTTATTTTGAACTCAAAATATGATTTGTTCATATGAATGTTGTTGCAGGACCTACAAAGACGTTGATCCAGTAGCACGTCCTACTTGGCAAAATCCCATTTATCAATGCAAAAAGTATAAAATTGCAAAAGTAAATGTACATGAGAGGAATAAAAAGGAAAACAGGAAGAAGAAAGGTAGAGGGAAAGCCTATCTTCCAGGTGTCTCCGTGTGGCATGACTGATCTTACCACCAGATTCCCAATGACCATGACCATCATGAAGACGATGAGACACATTGACTGCCCCGCCACTTCCATGCAGTCCCACATGGTTTCGATCCATTCGCCACAAAGCACCCGGAACACAATCAGGAAGGAATGGAAGAAATCGTCCATGTGCCACCGCGGCAACTCACAATCCTCTGAGATCTTGCAGACACACTCACGGTAGCTCCTTCCAAACAACTGCATTCCCACCACAGCGAAGATGAAGACAATGATGGCCAGGACGAGGGTTAGATTTCCCAAAGCACCAACTGAGTTACCAATGATCTTTATCAGCATGTTCAGCGTGGGCCAAGACTTTGCCAGCTTAAAGACTCTTAACTAAGAGAGAGAATGAGACAGGGAATGTTAGAAAAGAGCTGTTTTGTGATCAAGCCATTACCCTGAATTCATGGAGTCTTAAATGTATAAAAAAGCCAGCATTTGGGTTTCTGAAATGGTATCAGCCATACAGTAGAGTCCAAAACTTGCACAAGCATGTAGATTTCATAAAGCTCAAGTGCTACTGTCTTGACTTTTACTCGCATTATGTTGATGACACAATTTATAATGAAAATAACAGTATTAAACTAGAAAAAAAACAAAACAGAAGCATTTTCACTAGTGGTCTTAAACCTTCGAACACCACTGTATGAGATGAGAGATTTGCTCACCAATCTAAAAGACCGCAACACAGAAAGTCCCTCAACATTGGCCAGGCCCAGTTCCATAAGACTCAGGCTCACGATGATGCCATCAAAGATATTCCAGCCTTCTTGGAAGTAGTAATATGGGTCTAGAGCAATTACCTTTAGACACATCTCTGCTGTGAAGATTCCTGTGAATACCTGCACAGAGTCCAAAAGGAACAGATTAGCACCAAAACAATCCTAACGACTACCAACGGAACTAAAAATCTCAACACAAAACCAACAATAAGAACATTTACACAGTGCACTAAAATGTTTCAAATCTGCATTCTCAATGTTTAAAAAAAGATTTTAATGCATCATAGGAGTTTGCTTAGTAGTATAATACTACTGACTAAAAGTTTTGTATTTGTTGTACTGTTTTTATGCTGATTTAAAGGGATAGTTCACCCAAAAATGAAAATTATCCCATGATTTACTCTCCTTCAAGCCATCCTAGGCGTATATGACTTCCTTCTTTCAGATGAATCCAATCGAAGTTGTATTAAAAATTGTCTTTGATCGTCCAAGCTGTTTAATGGCAGTCAGCGGGTGTTGCAGTGCATCAGTCCAAAAGAAGTGAAATAAAGTGCATCCATCCATAATAAAAAGTGCCTCACATGGCTCCGGGGGGTGAACAAAGGCATCCTGTAGCGAATCGATGCGTTTTTGTAAGAAAAATATCCATATTCAAAACTTAATAATCACTTTAATCTAGCTTGCGCCAACAGTTGTACACGGAAGCAGCTCCGGGAGGATGACGTAAGATGTTGGCGTTGCGCCGGTGAGTCTCCTGAAAACCAACGTTTGTTTACAGGAGCAAAGGAAGCAACGTTTCCTTACTTTAGCAAAGGAAAACCAGTCTCCTCTTGGCTTATATTGAAATCCTCTGACATTCTACTTTACAAATCTTCGTTTTGTACTTAAAGATTTGTGACCGTTGTTTTGTTTTGATCTCTCCGCTGCGCTTCCGCCTTCGTCACTTCTGAGCGGCGCTACGCCGACGTCTTACGTCATCCGCCCGGAGTTGCTTCCGTGCACAACAGTGAGCGCAAGCTAGATTAAATTGATTATTACGTTTTAAATATGGTTATTTTTCTTACAAAAACGCATCGATTCACTACAGGAGGCCTTTGTTCACCGAGTAATTCATGGGCTAATTTTCATTTTTGGGTGAACTAACCCTTTAAATCAACAAAATAAATAAAAACATACTGTATTATAATGAGAATCTGGCATTGAGAGCTCACCAGGTTCCCAACTGACAGCACATGGTTGAACCCGTCTGTCATAGGGTAGTGTTCCATAGCCATGAAGAGGGTGTTGAGAACAATGCAAATGGTTATGGCCAGGTCTACAAACGGATCCATCACCACCATGTTCACAATCTCCTTCACCCTCAGCCAGGCTGGACAGCAGTCCCAGATCAGGAAGCTGTTGGCAAACTTGTACCAACATGGAGGGCACTTCTGCCGCGATTCCTCAAGTTCTGTGAACAGAAATCATTTAATATCTATTAAATGTTAAAAAAAGTATGGCTTTCGAATCGCTTTCAAATGATGGTTGAATTGCAAAAAGTTTACATGTCTGCATTGTCTGTTGGAAGATTGTGTGTGTATGTGATGACTGAAAATTAGATGATGAGGTTGAGAGTGCATGTGAGGCGTTCAAAAATAATTGCACTGGCACGTCAGCAGTGTCAGCAGCTACACGACTTAAAGTCAGTGTTTAAAGGTCAGTACATGAGTGTGAGAGTGGTGTGTGTGTGCATATGTGTGTGAGGGTGATCTTATTTGCTTTCATAGCTAATCGTATGTAAATTGTACTAGTACGTTTTTGTATGACTAGATATACAGTGAAATATATAATATAAACATACTGACAGCATCTAAAACAAACTTCTTTACATATATGTAACTAATTCACCTATAGTTTTACCCGAACATATGTTTCTATAGTTGTACAGAAACATTTGCTAGGGTAAAACTACAGGTGAATGAGTTGAATACACAATTGAACAAATCACTGATGATTTATTTTTATCAGTAAATAACAGAAACTTTGCCAGAGAAAGCCAAATTTATTTAAAAATGAAATACAAATGGTAAAAAAAGCTAAAAAAAAAAATAAATAATATTATTTTATTTTATTTATTCTCTTTAGAAATCACAGAGAACAAAATGAAACCATTATGTCAAATTATTATTATATTATATGTGATTTTAACACATTTGTTTACATGTGTGAGGTCAGTGTGTTTCAGACCTTCCATAGTATTTGTCAGAATGCTGGCCACACTCAGAGCTCTTTTTCTGGCTACTGTCTCATCCAGATAATCAGACGGCTGGTGTGATCCTGAACGTTTTTTATGTGCCTCAGACTCAGTGGTTGTGCCCTAGAAAGAAAAAAAAAACATATCATGAGAATTGAGCATTTTATTGTTTTTTGTTTTGTTTGTTTTTTTATTATGCAAGTAAAGAATATGACAATATTTACATGTGCCAAATGCAAAATTACCAGGACATATACTGTATACTAACAGCCAACATTACATGTTCATTCTGAAAAACTCCTGTATGTGTATTTGTATGTCTGTGTGCTTGTGTGTGAGTGTGAGTGTATCTAGCATATAAACCAAAGAATATTTAACAGATATATAACAGATACAGGCATTTCAGTTGCTCTACCTCAGGTAACAAACGTCCGATTGGTGATGTTGGCACAGATGTCCCGCCCACCAGGGAGACCACTCCATTGCAATCGACTGTGCAGTGCATTTTTCCGTTGGCTGGGAGCATAATTCTGGGAGCAAGGCTGCAGTGACTGACAGTGGAACTTCGTCTCTCAATACAATGAGGTACGAAGAGCGATCCGCGGCGACTGTCACTATCCTCAAACGTGCTGTGCTCATCGTCCGCAAAATCATTCTCGGAGCCAAAATCTCGCGCTCTACCACGAAAACTGAACAGACTGGTGCGACTGTTCCTCCTTGGGGAGAAGAGAGATCCACGAATGCTGAGAAGAGACTGAAAAAGACACAAAAACAAAAAACTAAGAGAAAATGTAAAGTACATACATTGTACTTTTTTAAAATGAAGATTAGAAATTGACTGATAAAGTATTTTTAACACTGATACTGATAGATTGTTTATGTGTCCAATAACCAGTACACAGAACAAATTTGTATTTATTATGCTAGTCCTAATATTAATAATTAAATCATTCATTACTAAAGTCTGAAGGTGAATATCTTGCTTTACGACACAAAGGGCCCTATCATACACCCGGCGCAATGTTTTTTGCTAGTTTCAGCCCGACACAGTTGTCATTTTCACGTCCTGCGCCACGTTGTTTAAATAGCAAATGCATTTGTGCCCATTTGTGCGCCCATGGGCGTGCTGGTCAGAAAACAAGGTGTGTTAAGGTGCATTGCTATTTTGAGGCAACTGAAATAGACTGTGCAATTGACCAACAAAAACCTGGTCTAAAGTCTGGCGCAATATTTTTTTTCTTTTTTGTTATTTAAAGAACATGTTAGTAATATGCTCCAATAGGCGGGTGCACAACGCGTGTACACTTTGCTTATTACACACACAGGGATGCGCAGCAGCACACAAACATTTTTAAAAATTAAAAATTAAAGGATTAAAATGTAAAGATTATTATTGTGTACATAAATATAAAAATGCCTACATGTCATAATGGATAGTCATTTCATGTATCAGAATTATGCGCACAAGCAGATCCGTTTCCTCGCTAGAGACGCGTTCAGTTTTTCCGCTTGTAAATTCCGCCATGACACGAGAGCAACTGGCTTTTAAAGGGAATGGGAGATGAGACTAACACTTGTTAGCCCAAAACACACCCATTACTCATTTAGAGAATAGGGACAACCCTTTTAGACTACGCGCCGGGCGTGCCGACCATTTTTCCCGTCCTTAAACTAGCAAAAGTGGATTCGGACATGCCCTAAGCGCAATTGCGCCATGCGCTTAGATCATTAAAATAGGGCCCTAATACTGCATTGAAAAGCTGAATCATTTTTGCAAGAAACACATTTAATTAACAATAATATGAATGCTGTTCCTGTTGAAAATTGGCACTGTGGTGTCAAAAGCTCTCTAAAAATACTAGGTCTGACTAGCAAAAGCAAGTAGCAAATTATGGTTCATAGCTATGATCTAAACTAAAGGCTTTTAGCTATTTAAAAAGAGCACAAGCCCTTTGACGCGTCCTACCCCAAACTCCAAAATACATCAACACATGAACACATAAGTTTCTTTAAGACCTACTATCTTTGTACTAATGTCCCTGTAGATTTAGTTGTGTTTGTCATCATCAAAATGCCTGCTCTTAGTTTTGAATTCTGCATGCTGTTGGCATTTCTACCATCAGCTGGTGCAAAAGTGTGTAAAAATTGGTTAATTTTGTTTCTCTATGTTTATGTCATGTGCTCATATTATGTCATATTTCAAAACTGTATATCCGATTTGTCTCATGGTATTTATATTGTGAATAATGTTACTGCAGATTAATTTGCATGCATATGCCAATGGTAGCATGTATGTTTTATGTTTTACAATAGATTTCTGGTGGATTAAGATTTGTTAGAATTAAATGAAACCACATCTCAACCACATTTACATTTGGGTTATTTTCGAAGCATCTGTGTCACCTTTAACCCTGTAATCCTCTGTGAATAAGTGCATAGCTGAACATTTTAATGAGCTAATATTTTCTGCCTCCCTATCACACTTCTTGAGTTGATTAGCACTCCGCCCACCTCAGTAACAATATAGCTGAGAAGATGAGAATTATCTGACAAACTCAGAAACATTTATCAAACAACATTTCCCACAATGCCACACAAAGGAGGTGGTCACCTGGTTTGGAGTGGAACATTTCTTCTCATACGAGAGTCGGTTGGCATCGATGGAGAATCGAAATCCAGGCCGTCTGATGCTGTCCTCTGAGGCGGACTTATGGAACTTTTCCTGATCGGCTTTCTCTTCTTCTTCCCTTTGTTTTCTTTTCTTCCTCCTATTCCTTCGCTCTTTAGCGCTCTTGGAGCTGAGTCTGGACCCTCCGGAGGAGCTTTCCTCTGACAAGCCCCCCCTCCCGCTGTACTCCCCACTCTCTGTTGCTGCTGCCACGGCAACCTGCCAACCAATCACAGCGCAAGCACCGTTGTCAAGGGCAACCAGGGGTAGACTTAGTTCAAGCTCACATACCGAAAGCAGAGACAAGAGATGGATAAACAGTGAGCACTGAAGAAGGAGGGAGGATCGCTTTATGTGATCAGATTAAATTACAGGTATTTGTCATATTGTTGACCTTTGCCACTTTATTCCATTCTCAGTAATCCTTACTTACAACTGCATTATGTTTTTAACTTTCTTTTTCCTTATTATCTATCTATCTATCTATCTTCCACCATAGAGAACATTCGCCATTTTTGAGTTAATCTACATCTTGCTTTTTTGGTCTCTTTCTCTGTTTCTCTCGCTTTCTGTTTCGCTCTTGTTTCTCTCTTTTTCATGTTTACTAGGAGAAAGGACACTCTCTCACTCGCTCTCATCATCTGTCGGTTTCCATGGCGACAGGGCAGTGTTAGCCGTAGCAAGTGTGGTGCTGAGAAACTTCAGAGATGACGAAGGCAGAGGAAGAGATCAAAGATCAGGAAACGAGAACAAAATAATGATCAAAACAAAAGTAATGAGAACACACAATAACTGTAAATCAATGTGATAATTTGTATATAAAAAAAAAACTGTCTGTGCAAGTGAATGTATGCTTGTGTATTCTGATAGCTAGTATGTGTGTGTGTGTGTGTGTGTGTGTGTGTGTGTGTGTGTGTAGCTACCTGTGCCTCTTCCTGTTGTCTCTTTAGCTGTTCTAGCATGGCTTGAAACTCTTCCTCTTTCTGTTGAGCCTCTTCTATGGTGGCCTGGTTCTGCTCGTCATATGCCATGGCCACCACAGCCAGGATGAGATTTACCAGATAGAAGGAGCCCAAGAAGATCACAAGAACAAAGAAGATCATATAGGGCTTTCCAGCTGCACGCAGGGTCTGTGAGAGGCAAAACACACACATACACAAACAAAATGTTACAAAAATACTTTTTTTGGAAGAAAGAGAATACAAGTAAAAGGATATTGATTAGTTAATGGATAGATGCTGATGTTTTCTAACGCCTACAGGAAAATGGGCTAAACTTATATATAATGGTTTCTTTATTATTAAAGTATTACAACTCGGACAAAATTAAATTTGTTTTGCTATGGCTCTGGAGATTCAAGAAACAATGGTGTGGTATAATGTTAATAGGAAATAAATAGCCATGGCCTAGACATTGTAGAAGGATGTAGGGTGTTTTTTCATGTCTACAGGATGATATTGAGCTGATGTCAGGGCTGTACCTGCTGGTAGAGGTTTTCCCAGAAGTCTTGTGTCATGAGTCGGAAGAGTGAGAGGAAGGCCCAGCTGAATGTGTCAAAGCTTGTGTAGCCGTAGTCAGGATTACGACCTGCTTTTATACACGTGAAGCCCTCTGGACACTGCCTGTAATCCAAGGAAGTGGAAAAATATTTTCAGCATATTCAGTGAATAAGAGTTATTTAGCCCAACATGGGACATCATATCAGTGGTTCACAGTTCAGTGGTTCATCTCAGTTAAAATGCTAAAAGTAAGAGAAGTACACATTAGCTTAGAATCAAAAAGGCTGAAAACCACTGCATTATATAAACTTAACCAATTAAAAAATGAGATGTTAGATTGTTAAGAAAACCTGCAGTATTTCAAGTGAAAAAAACCTTTTCTTTATATTACAACATCTAATCTATTTACATTCTATATTCTCTATATTCTAAAATGATGTTTAAATTTCACTAGCATGTGCAGTCTAAAAGAACATATTCACCCTGCATCGCTTGAATTTCCACATAGCAAAGGATCTCTGCGGCCTGGGAGGAAATAATAATTGCCTAAAAAGGGGAAAGGCACAAGATAAATGTCAAGAAACATAATCTTGTGAATCCTGTTGCTTGAAGGAAGTGTATTTGCCTAAATTGTCTAAAAAAGGCTAGACTTTAAAGCACACTCACTGCGAGGCAACACACATCCACACACACAACCATAAGAGTGCTTTGAGCACTCGATGACTCGTTTTTCTTGGGCCAGTGGAGCATTCCTCACATCCTCAAGGACATGTAGTGTCAACGAGCATCTCAATAACACACACACACACACACACACAGAGAAGCACACACATTCTTCACGTACTCTCGTCACTACTGTATTCTGTCCAGTTAAAGGTGTTGCGCAGCTCTAAACCAGCGCTGTAGTTCAGCGTGGCGGTCAGGTTTTCAGTGACATTGACCTCCGGCATCTTCACACACTTCTGCCGCAGGATTCCCATGAAGAGCTGCAGTCCGATCAGAGCAAACACACTCAGACAGAACACAGTCAGGATCATCACGTCTGACAGCTTCTTCACGGACTGGATCAGAGCGCCAACGATAGTCTTCAGCCCTGAGGAACACGCAACGGTGGTCACAAACACACCCAATACACACAACAACTCAAACACAATGTGAGAATGCACAATACAGCTACATAGATCTGGAAAGGCTCTTATGGTAACACTTTAGAATAAGGTCTAATATGTTAACATTACGTAGAATGATAGCTACATTACAACATTTATTTATGCAGGTTAATATAAATTCATATGTTTACTGATACAGTTATACATTTTTGTGTAAATTAACATTGTTTATCACAAACATGAATAACAATGAACAACAGTGTATTTATAAATTACCATGAACCAAAATACTGTAAAATTGTTAGTTCACAATACACTAACTAATGTTAACAAATTGCATATTATTAAAGTGCTACTGTTTCTGTCATACTGATGCACGAATGGTTCACCCAGAAACCCATTACTTATTCACCCTCATGTCATTCTAAACCTGTATGTTGTTATTTTTTGTGTAAAACACAAAAGGAAATTGACACAGCTCTATTCTATACAGTCACAGTTCATAGCAACCACAGCTGTCATGCTCCAAAAAGACACCATGATAGCACCATAATAGTGTCCTATACAAATGGTACACTACATTTTAAGCCTTCTGAGGTCAGATGACAGCTTTGTGTGACGACAATAAAGAAAATTAAATCAGGTTTGGTGTCATCTTGAAAATCTTCTTTAGTGTATCTTTAAATTAAGAGTCAAATTCTGATCTACTCTTTACACAAAGATATCATAGCATACAGGTTTAGTTTGGAATAATGACGAATAAAGAAAAAATTGTAGAATGTTAATTTTTGGCTGAACTATTCTGGCAGTATACAACATTACCTTATATTTTTGACATTATAGTTACTCAAATCCTTTTTTTAAACTAGAATAACACAAAAAAAATCTAGAAAGCATTCTGTTTTATATAATTAGTAAAAAGAAAGCAATCAAGAAGCTTTTGGTGATTAAAACATGGTTTTAAATATTAGTTTGCATGTTAGTTGAATAAATGTTTTTGACATTGCGTATAAACAACATTAAAGCATGCAGTGTAAGACAGTGAGTGCAAGTGTTGCATGTGCATGCCTGCATGTGTGTGTGTGTTTCACAAACACACACACACATGCGCAGCACAGCATATAACGGGCACAGCCGACGATGCGCATGCACATAGAACTCAAACAGCAGACAGAGGAGAAGAGAAGAGTAGAGGGTCTCAAGTTCTCTATCTCAGGCTATAGGCTTCAGCAATGTCTCATGCAAAAAAAAAAAAAAACACAAATTAAAAAATGCCCAGTTGTCTATTTCCCAAGTCATGATGGTAGACCTTTCCCAAGGTGTGATGGTCTTTGGGAAATAACAGAGCAGAGCCCGGCAGAAGGGATATAAGGAAAACTATAGAATGTGTTTTTAAAAGCCTGGAATCCCGTTTTTTACACCCGAGCGGATTCCTGCTTTCTCTGGCCGCTGGGAGCGACAGAATGAGAGAGAGGCCAGCGGAGGAGGGGATGGAGTGAGCGAGAGCTCAGATGGAGAGAGAGGCAGCCTGTGAGCTAGCCCTCACCTGGAATCACTGATATAGTTTTGAGTGCTCGTAAAACCCTGAAGGTTCTCAGTGCTGAGACATTGCCCAGATCCACAAATTCTGTTACATATCTGTAGGGAGGGTGGAGGGGGAAGGGGTCACACACACACACACACACGCGCACGCACAAACACACGCACGCATGTTAGGACAGGACAGGGTAGCAGAGGGAAACGTCACACAGAGACACACATCTGACTGACACCTGTGTTTACGCGCACACGCATGCGCACGTCTATACACACACGCACGCACACACACACATCCCTTACCTGGGATGACTGAGATAGTTTTCAAAGCTCTGAGCACTCTGAAAGTGCGGAGAGCTGACACATTGCCTAGGTTTACAAACTCAGTTACATACCTGTAGAATCAAATAGAGAGTTACCACAAGCGCGCACACGCACGCACGCCAACACACTCGCTCAAACTCACACAACAGCAACCAACATGGATTCACCAGCTTTCTTTCATCAGTGTGTGCAAACTCTCATTAACAGCTCAGGAAAAACAGTGTACAGACTCATTTGTATGACTCTTATTTTAATACAAATTAATAAGCATGAGAAACATCTGTCATCGGAGATACTTACGCCATCAGAATGACACTGAAATCTAGCCAGTTCCAGGGGTCTCGCAGGAAAGTGAACTTCCCCACGCAGAAGCCCCGTGCCAGGATCTTTATCAGGGACTCAAAGGTGTAGATCCCTGTGAACGTGTACCTGAATGCACACGAACAAAACTTCACTAAGAACAATTAAGTTGTATGAAATTGAAACATTTAAATGTTAAATACCCCATGTAATGATGCTATTTAATTTGCTGTGTTGACAAATTTCCTATTGGAAAAAAAGTCGGGGCACAAAACACAAAAAGAGAAGACAGCATAGTGACCATATATGTTAAAATGCAAAACAAAACAAAAAAACACCATTAGGTGCTTCATACAACTTGTATTCTCAATCAATTCCAGGTGTTCAGAAACCATGATACTATGTGCAAGGAATAAACTATTTTTACTGAAATGACTCGCTGAAAATCTTCCCATTGAGTAAGATGTTCTGCATTGCGTTGACCTCAAAAATTAAATCGGTGAAAAAAATTTTCTTTTGAGGTGTTGATCCAATTGATCCAGTCACGAAAAGGAACCAAGTGATTCATGAATGTATTCTAATTTGTTCAATAAGTCCAACTCACTGACTCAATCTACTCACAGCAGTTCTTGATTTAACAGCTCACTAGAAGGGAAGATTATAAGTCAATAATAGCATAAATTTCAGTAACTCCCACACACAAAATTATTGTATGGCTTTAGAAAACATAGAATAATAAGAATGAACTGTATGGTATGGTGCTTTTTTGTTGTTTACTTTTTTAGTTGTTGTTACTTGTTTACATTTTTTTAAATGAAGAGACAGGGTTGGTCACTATAAAATATAAACTGTACATTTTTGTTCCACAGAGTAAACAGTGAGAGTAAAAAATGACAGAATTTTCATTTTAGGGTAAATTGTTTATTTAAATACATTCCCACAAAACCCTGATTTGCTACTCGCTGTTGTTAATGAGTAACAGCTGTCATTTAATATACATTTAATATATGTGTATATATACAGTGGTGGCCAAAATTATTAGAACACTAGTATTTTCACCAGCTAAAAAATGATTTTAAGTCAGTTATTTCTATCTTTTGCTGTGTCAGTAAAATTAAAAAATGCCCAGTTGTCTATTTCCCAAGTCATGATGGTAGACCTTTCCCAAGGTGTGATGGTCTTTGGGAAATAACAGAGCAGAGCCCGGCAGAAGGGATATAAGGAAAACTATAGAATGTGTTTTTAAAAGCCTGGAATCCCGTTTTTTACACCCGAGCGGATTCCTGCTTTCTCTGGCCGCTGGGAGCGACAGAATGAGAGAGAGGCCAGCGGAGGAGGGGATGGAGTGAGCGAGAGCTCAGATGGAGAGAGAGGCAGCCTGTGAGCTAGCCCTCACCTGGAATCACTGATATAGTTTTGAGTGCTCGTAAAACCCTGAAGGTTCTCAGTGCTGAGACATTGCCCAGATCCACAAATTCTGTTACATATCTGTAGGGAGGGTGGAGGGGGAAGGGGTCACACACACACACACACACGCGCACGCACAAACACACGCACGCATGTTAGGACAGGACAGGGTAGCAGAGGGAAACGTCACACAGAGACACACATCTGACTGACACCTGTGTTTACGCGCACACGCATGCGCACGTCTATACACACACGCACGCACACACACACATCCCTTACCTGGGATGACTGAGATAGTTTTCAAAGCTCTGAGCACTCTGAAAGTGCGGAGAGCTGACACATTGCCTAGGTTTACAAACTCAGTTACATACCTGTAGAATAATTATTAGAACACTAGTATTTTCACCAGCTAAAAAATGATTTTAAGTCAGTTATTTCTATCTTTTGCTGTGTCAGTAGGAACTGTGGCAACGCTTCCAAGATGCTTCAAGAGACCTACCTGCAAAGCTACCTGCAAAACTATGCGCAAGTGCACCTAGGGCAAAAGCTGCTGTAAACACAAAGGATGGTCACACCAAATGTTGATTTAATTTAGTTAATAGAAGTTAATTTATAAAGAAAATCTATGTATGACATTATTTTTGACTGCATTTTACAGCATTTTTACACAAGTGCCTAAAACTTTTATAAGTCTGTGTCAGTAGGAACTGTGGCAACGCTTCCAAGATGCTTCAAGAGACCTACCTGCAAAGCTACCTGCAAAACTATGCGCAAGTGCACCTAGGGCAAAAGCTGCTGTAAACACAAAGGATGGTCACACCAAATGTTGATTTAATTTAGTTAATAGAAGTTGATTGATAAAGGAAATCTATTTATGACATTATTTTTACAGCATCCTCATTTTACAGCATTTTTACACAGGTGCCTAAAACTTTTAACAGTACTGTAGCTTTGCAGGTAGGTCTCTTAAAGCATCTTGGAGATGTTGCCACAGTTCTTCTGGATTTAGTCTGTCTCACTTTGTTCTGTTTCTTCGTGTCATTCCAGACAGACTGGATGATGAAGAGGTCAGATCTCTGTGTGGAGCTCTGGCTGTTGTCAGACTCCTTGTGCAAACAAAAATCTCACTGGATTATTACAATTAATGGCAAAATGAATGTTCGGAAATGTACACTGATATTTCCTACTGACACACTACAGTAGAAATAACTGACAAAACTATTTTTAGCTGGTGAAAATACTAGTGTTCTATATAGTGACTTTATATATTTTTGTTGCTCTTTTGTTGATTTTGATTGCTTTGATTTGAAAAGAATAAAAAATATATTTTGTATTTTTACATTTAAATCTCATCATAGTGTTTTTAAGCATTTTGCATTTATTCCAAATGAATAACTCAAGGCAGTAAAAATGTATGCAATATATTTTATTTAAACAATTATATATTTTATTTATGAACTGATGTTCAGTTGTTCTTTTTAGAGAAACTTATTTTTGGATCATCAGTCATCAGAGCTCAATAAACACTGGTCACAGATGCGAAGATGTACCTTTAATTTCAACAAGCTGATTGTTCACTACAAAAAAACACACAGTTCATGTTTCCAGGCCATTTGAAGTTTGATTTTGACATGACAAAGTGGCGGCATATAAGTGTGTGTATTGCTTACTATTTAATTAGACTTCCCATTAATGCCATCATTTTGTTCATTCAGACTGATTGGCGAGCATGGAACGTGCAGAGCCAATCATAGCCGATCATAAGCAGTCATATCCAATCATTTTGCGAAGGAGGCATTGCCTCCTCTCACGTGACTTTCCCCCATTTATTCTCAATTACCCCCCAGCAAACTCTGCACGTTTTAGGGGGGCTCAGGGGAGGTGAGAGAGACACAGACTCCCACTATAACTTTACTTGCTAGTGTCTCTGTTGGATAGTTTTACTTTAGAAAAACGAGTGATTTATACACTTTTTTGTAATATTTTGTAATATTTGCATTGTTTTATTTCTGTGCTATGACTTTTTTTTTTGAGGAGGCACTGCCTCCCTTGTCTCTTCGGAGGAAATGCCCCTGATATATAAATATATATATATATATATTAGGGGTGGAACGGTTCGCGGAAAAAAATCGAACCATACGGTTCTCCGCACACGGTTCGGCATGTGCTAGGACCGCGGTTCAACTTAAATCTGACAACGCATCTGTAATATGGTTTGCTATAAATAACACGTAAAACAAACAGGGTTCAGCTAATATATTTTTCTGCTGATGGATGTGCATTCTGGCTTCCCAATACATTACAACAACAACAAAAAAACGTGGACAAACCATTCACTCTTGTATTTGTGCGTGCGCTCATCCAAAGCGCGCAAACCCGCGCCTCAGAACGCGCACAAATATTAAGCTCTCTCTGAAGTATTGTGTTTAAATGGACAAATTCACACAAAAATTATGTCAAAATGCCTTTAACTTTAATAAAGATTAATCTTTCATTTATACAGTCAAATATGCAATGCTGTTTTGCATTTCACTTTTGCATTACTTTATTCAATTTCTGTACCTAAAAACTGTTAGACATACCTAAAAAAAAAATGAAAATCACTGTTTATTTTATTTGTATATTTACTCTATTGTATTTATTTGTGCTGTTGCTTGTAGTTAAGATAGATTAATCTTATTTTCTTTATTTTTATTTGACAGTATAGTTTTTGCCTAAACATAGCACATACCGAACCGTACCGAAACCGTGACTCTAAAACCGTGATTCAAACCGAACCTTGAGTAAGTTGAACCGTTCCATCCCTAATATATATACATAGGGGATACAAATTTACAGATCACTTTTTTGGACAAAATCATGTCCATACAAGTGTTTACAAGATAATGAATATGTTTAGTTCACCTTCCCAGAAGAGAAAGACTGATCATTTTGGTTAAACTGGGTTATAACTTGGTTAAACTGTAAAATCCCTATGCACAACTGTGTTAATGATGTGACTTACTCCACATTCTTGGCCCAGTCCGGGGGATTGCTGAGGGTCATGAAGGTGCAGTTGGTCAAGATTGTGCACATGATCACAAAACTGAACATTGTGAGCAGCCGTCAAGGAATATACACAAAAAAACACAAACACACACAAATATTTTATGTATACACACCCAACTACACCTAATCTCAGGTTAAGCCTCAGACAGCACACCTAGGGGAACTGTCTTGATATTATCAATGCTAATGAGGAAGAAATAATTATTGGACTTGTCAAATGTTTGCCAGGTTTGAAGCTTCAGATTTGAAAGATAATGAAAGTTATTTTTAGGCACTTGGTAGCAAACAATTAAACTTAGAGAAGCGGAACTGTATTTACACTAATATTTAAAAGTTTGGGGTCAACCAAACCAAATATTAAGAATCACAACTGTTTTCAACATCGGTAATAATAAGAAATATTTCTTGAGCACCAAATCAGCATATTAGAATGATTTCTGAAAGATCATGTGACATTAAAAACTGGAATAACAGCTTCTGAAAATTCAGTTTTGCCAACACAGGAATAAATTACATAAATAAAATACATAAAAACAGAAACGGTTATTTTAAATTGTAATGATATTTCACAATACTAATATTTTACTGTATTTTTTATCACATAAAAAAAAATTTTCATCAGCCCAAACTTTTGAATGTTATACAGTATGTATTTTGGTCAGATTGTCAGATGTTGGTTCCTTTCTAAGTGTTCTAATAAAATAAGATGAATGTGGACCAGAATATATGTTGCAAGTGAGCAGCAATGCCTGCGGGTCACCAGGCATAAATAGCCAGTCTGCCAGAGCTGTGAGTGCCAAACTGGGCGTGTACTCAGAGCAAATCAGTTACATTCCCAGGGGCTCCATGACCCCTACGAATCCCCCATCTCCTTCAAGATTCACTGTCTCAAATAATAGAGACATATATGTAAGATATGGGGGGAAAAAACGAAAGAGATATAGAGATGGAGAAAGCATGACGGAGGGAAAGAGATGACTGTAAATATTGAAATGCTCATACTTTGTAGTTTGGGGTCAGTCATTTTTTTTCTTTGAAAGAAATACATTTTATTCAGCAAGAATGACAGTAATAACTATTAAATTGTTACCAAAAAATGTATTCAAATAAATTTGATAATCAGTTTCGATAAACATATTGAGCAGCACAACTGTTCAAACCGCTGATAATAATGTTATATGGTAATAATGTTTCTTTTGCGCACCAAATCTGCATATTAGAATGATTTATGAAGGATCATGTGACACTGAAGACTGGAGTAATGGCTACTAAAAATTAAACTTTGCCATCACAGGAATGAATTAGCCTACATTTTAAATGATATTAAAGTTATTTTAAATTGAAATTATATTTCACTATGTCACTATTTTTATTTTTAAACACATTAAAAAATCTTACCAACCCCAAACTTCTGAACGATAGTGTATTTTATTGCATGGCAATTTGTACTTAATTCTGATTGGTCAGTCAAAGAATTCCTCAGTCAAACTGTATAACTGACCAATTTCTTACATTGCTGTGTTTTTTCTCACATAACTATTTCGAGCCAAATCAATATTTTATGTCCATTTATTTATTTGCTGTGTAACATACATGCTGTGTCACAGAACTCACACTGGAATCCAAAACCCAGTTTTGGTAGATGATTACATTCATGATTACATACATAAGTGGCACCTGAGCATGCATCTGGCTTTCTAAAATGGATTTTGAAATTCAATCCCCCCCATCCCCCCAAAGCATGCAGATTTTTACATCTTTAAACAAAACAATCTTGCAATTTGGATTGTTGGATTCAAGGCAAAAAAATGGAGACCTGATTCTTGTTAAATTTTCTAAACCATTTGATGCTATTATTTCGACCCATATCCAGCTACTGTATGCCTTTCCAAATCCAAACGCTCAGGCTCCATTCTTCCTTTTTTTAGGTAATACTTTTTAAAAGTTCAAATAAAACTGACCTGAATCAAAATGAATCAATATAGTTGACAGCTGTGGAAAAAAAAACATTTATAAAAACAGTAATTGTTTTAGTTTCTAGAATTTTCTAGAACTAGGATTTCTTTTTACACAAACAACAGCTGAGACTGCTCCAAACCACCCCCGATGCAAACCCTTAGTCCTCATCCAACTGGAAAGGCATAATAGTAGTTGCAATAAACATTTCACCACGCAAACTGAAAAATCAGTAGTCTCTTTTTTACTCACTGGATCCATACTATAGATCATGTCCACGTTTAATGAATGAAGATGAAAACATTTTCAAAACTGAATCTGTGACCAAATAAAATCTGCTATTCACTCTTTCCTTTTTCACAAATAACTACCACACAGAAAACCAGAGGTGAAAAAACTGTTGCAGATTTTGAAATGCTTGTTTAACTAACATCCTTATACAAATCTGCGTAAAAATTACAGAGTATGAATCATACGTCATATAAATCAATACTTATGAAGATATATTGATATAATAATTTGAAACATATTTTAAAGGAGCAATTCACTCAAAAACTTGCTGCAAATTTACTTACCCTCAGGACATCCAAAGATGTAGATGAGTTTGTTTCTTCATCAGAAAAGATTTGGAAAAGTTTAGCATTACATCACTTGCTCACCAGTGGATCCTCTTCAGTGAATGGGTGCCTTCATAATAAGAGTCCAAATAGCTGATAAAAACAATAATCCAATAATCCACAAGTAATCGCCATGACTCCATTTCATCAATTAACATCTTATAAAGTGAAAAGCTGTATATTTGTAAAATGTAAAAAAAAAAACATTATTGAGGTGTTCTGGCCAAAATACCATAATAACAACCATAACCCTGATTCCATAATAACACTTCCTCCAGTGAAAAGGTCCATCCCCTGTTGTCCTCTCACATCAAAATCCACTGAATTATTTCTTTAGAACTGTTTTGGACTGCTCACTGCTTGACCTGTGCATGTTTCTCTCCTGATTCGGACTAAATTACTTTTTCACTGAAGAAAGCAATATTACAGCTAGTGGACTTGTTTTTTAGCCAGAAGCAACTATTTAAAAAAACTCAAAACATCTTAATGACAGATTCTTTTATTACAACTCACATCTTTTCGAGTCACAAGGAGTTAACTGATGGAATGTAGTCATGTGGATTATTGTGATGTTTTTTTATCAGCTGTTTGAACTTTCATTCTGACGGCACCCATTTACTTTAGAGAATCCATTGGTGAACAAGTGATGTACTGATACATTTCGCAAAATCTATTCTGAAGATGAAACAAACTCATCTACATCTTGGATGGCCTGAGGGTGAGTACATTTTTACCAGACTTTCATTTTTGGGTGAACTACAGTATTCCTTTAATGCTGCAATGAATGACCAAGTTTGAGTTCCATTAAACTGAAAAGTGGAATTTTTCTATGCAGAACTCCTGCTAACAATGTCTTCTAGACAAAATCTTCCTGGGTGCCCTCGTCTGCTCTGGGCTAGATTTCAGTGTGCAACTGTGACTAATATTTGGCAAGCAATTGTTTGTGTGTGTGGGGGTCTGTGAGTGAGCACTATGAGCTGTCTCTCTCTCCCTACCATCACCCAGCCAGTTCAGCCTGTTCCCTCTGAGGACAGAGGTAAAAACAACTCCCTCATCCATGCATTCACCCATCCACACACTCATCCAATGATCCACTTATTCAACCCCCCTCCAAAAATGAGCCAATCCTCTGGGGTGCCATTACTCCCAGCCCTTCCCTAATACACACCAGTCTCCAGGGTCAAACCAAACCTCAGAGAGGGGGTGGGGGACACTTTCACCATTTAAATATACAGTAGGTACTCCTGGGTAAAATCAAGGGTGCTAATACTCACCATTTTGATGAGCTGTCAAAAAAACAGACAAACACCGAGAAATTATCCAAGCTCGTCTGGTATCATAATAATGCTTCAGATTTTAATGTCATTACCAAAAGAAAAAATATATATATATGTGTGTATCATTCAGACTTGATCAAAAATTCAAAATTAGCATAGACCATCAGTATAAAACATGTACTTATTGGATCCTGCATGCTACTTCATGTTACTAGGATATTGAAAGATCTTGACAGTATGTCACTGAGAAGGTGGATTAAAATATCCCAGGCCAACTCTAGGCATCCAAAATGTGTCAGAATTTACCATCAGACCTTTCCTTCAAATGTCAAACAGTCATGCATACATATTCAGACACCGAATGTGTTTAAAAGACTGTATATATATATGATTTCTGACAGATGTGGAGGAAGTGACCCTTCACACTCACACAGCATCTAAACTCAAACAAAACACCAACACTTGACATTTCCTAACGAGGCTGTTAGTGCATAGGCTCCACTGCAGCTTTCTAATCAAGAATTTGCACATTTTCCTCAACTGTGCGTTAGAATCGTTCTGCTTCGTCGTAGAAATCAGGGATTCGCAACAGCTGCTCTCCATGGTGCTGAAGCACAGGTGCGCGTGCTACCGCCTGGGCTCAGCTCAGTTCATCCGCCACGCGCTTCCTCCGCCGCCGTCACATTCGCGTGTTATTCTTAAAACAGACACATTGACGCTTACGTGTTTAACATGACCGATTCGGTGAATTAAATAATAGCACATTTCCTCTGCAATTTTAAAGGCCATTATCAAAAATACAGAAATTCATAATTCATAAATGAGTTTTCAGTCGGTACAGGTTGTTCCTTAGGATTTCACTTATTGATTTATATTATTATTTAAAATAACAACATTTCCGAAGAGTGCAAACTGTTAAAAACTGCCCAAGACAACGTTCAAAATGGACTAATGTTGATTTTGGCGTTTTCTTATCAGTAGCCTATATACTGTTTTAACAAGTCAAACATTTGAGGACCTCTTAAGATCCACGTTCAACAAATACAAGGACCCAGTCGACGGATGATGTTTATCACGATTATTATTTTTGGCATTGAGTGGCGACAGAAGCCCAAGGTGAGTTTGGAGGCCGTACCTTTATAGATGAGGATTCATCTCGAACACAGGGGCGCGAAGCTGCTGTCGCCATGTTGAC